TCTGTATTACGTCAACAATGATGGGCTGTGTCGTCTGTATTGCATAAACAATGATGGGCTGTTGAAGTCTGTATTGCATAAACAATGATGGGCTGTGACGTCTGTAGTACGCCAACAATGATGGGCTGTGACGTCTGTATTACACCAACAATGATGGGCTGTGATTTCTGTATTAAGTTATAATCATTATAATCATTATAATGATATGAAATTAACTAGGTATCGATTATATAAACTGAGGGGCAAAAGAAACGCCACCAAATAAATAATGGTCGTCGGTTTTCAACAAATTTGCCAAACAGGACGAAAACAGTTGGGAACACATAGCTGGAATGCAACTTCCCTATTCTCTGTGAACATGTGCACGTGCTTCACGTGATGCTAGAAAAGGGAATTTAATAACTAAAAAATGGAAAATGTGCACAAACTTACCAGTATGAAATTCTGGTATAAAACATGAGCAGGATTGTAATCTCTCGTCACACGAAACCGTTTAAAACAACGAACATGCCTCGACTAACCGCAGAGCAGAGGGAGAGAGCCATCGGTATGGTGCAAATGGGAGCGACGCAGGAGCACGTTGCCAGGATCATGGGCTGCTTTAAGTGCACCATCGCCAGACTTGTCACACGTCACAGGCAAACTGGCAGTACTGCAGACAGGCCGAGGAGTGGAAGACCCAAGGTCACGACCCCAGAGGAAGACCGGTATTTACGGGTGCTTCACTTATATTTCTAAATGTGACGTCATCATCCGAAAATAACCTTGGACATCCAGTATGCATAAGTAACGTTGCTAGACGGCTCCGCCTGTATGGTCTCCGTGCCTATCGACCTTGCATGACGTTAACGTTTCTACACCGACGTCACCGACTGTACAGCAGTGGCAGCAGAGAACGAGTGGTTTTTTTCAGCGACGAGAGTAGGTGCCAGCTCTTCAAGTCTGATGGGCGGGTTCAAATCTACCTCCGACGTGGTAACCGGACGGCACGTTGTTGCGTCCAAGAAGTGGAGCCTTATGAAGGTGGTATAGTGTCATGGTCTGGGGTGACATCTGCGGGGACCAGAAGACAGATCTGGACATCATCGACGGAAATCTCACTGCACGTCGTTACATTGGTGAGGTTTTGCGGCCTGTAGTACTGCCTTTTCTGCAACGAGGCCCACGGATGCTGTTTCAGCAGGACAACGCCACCCCTCACACAGCTCGAATCACTAGCGAATTTCTGAACGCCAACAAGGTGTCCGTATTACAGTGGCCAGCCAGATCACCGGACCTGTCGCCCATAGAGTACCTCTGGGACCAACTTGGACGCAGGATTCGGAAACGTCAACAGCCGCCATTGACGAGGGATGACTTGGCAATTGCCCTGCAGGAAGAATGGCGTAGGATCCCTAATCAAGATGTCAGGAGACTTGTGTACTCAGTTCGACGTCGTGTTAGAGCCTGCATCGTTGCTGGAAGGGGTCACATCTGATACTGAGCCACGTGTGTAGCACGGGACTTTAAAAGAGATCGACGTCGATTCTGTGGGTGTGTTCGAATACTGGACAGTGCACCCAGCATGATAAACGTGTCTGCAGAACTTTAAGTACGTGGTTTTTTATCTTGTCATTTTCAAATACCGTTTTTGAATAATTGTTTTTTTATAATAAACATCAACTGTTACTAAATTTTGCGTCTGTTTTGTTTTAGACCAGAAAATTATTTGGTGGCGTTTCTTTTGCTCGCTAGTTTATGTACTCTGTAGGCAGGAATTATGCAATTCCAATTGTTGCTTATAATAGTCTCGAATCAATAAATGCAGTTTTGTTGATGAATTTAAATCCCTGTTTGATGGTCTACGCGTTGTTTGACCTTTCTTGTCGTTTTACATGAATAAATAGAACCGATACTTTGGCACCTTGTCAACCCGCCACAGTTGTGTGGCTGTTGGACCGCCTCCGTGGTATAGTGGTAGAGCGTCCGCCCGGAGAGCGGAAGGTCCGGTGTTCGATCCCCGGCCGCGTCATACCAAAAGACGTTAAAAGATGGTACTTGTTGTTACTCTGTCTGGCGCTCGGCATTAAGGGGTTAAAACAAGGACTGGTCGGCTCGGCGTCAGTATACTGTGTCTGAGTAGGGGTATTCATTTTAAACTAAACATGGTATCTCAGTGAGCTAGCACTATAAATCGGCATCCGGACTAGTACAAGCAGCCACACAAACACAGACACGTACATTCACGTCGCTATATAAGTGCAATAATCTTGGACGCGATGTTAAACCCAATTTCATCTGACCACCTCACACATGGCTGTTGTGGTTTACATATCGTGGCAGACATTATGTATAATGTCACATGGTTGCCACAAATAAAGTAGTCCCGGTTGACGCAGATCACTCCAACCAAAAGTGATATGGGTAGATTGTGAATCTGAAAACGTAAATGGATATAAGTCTCATGCTACATCTAGACTCGGTTATTATTTTGTCTTTTTGAAAAAAATTAATAAATTGGGACAAATTTCAATTATTATTCTCTCAAATTGTCTCCGTAAATAAAGGCACAGAAAGCATGTTCAATGAGTATAGATATGGAGAACTCGCTTTTGTGGCCATTGTAAGTTGACATATTCGTGACTGGTTAGCATTTAAACTTAATGGTTGCTACCTCCTTTGAGAGGCTTTTAGAAGTTGGAGTACTAAGTAAGGATAAGACTTATGGATGAACAACTTCTTTATTACAAAAATTACTTTTTTTATAACGGTGTAAGAACCTACACGGAAACGTTGCTCCTAATTGTAATAAAGAAGTTGTTCATCCATAAATCTTATCCTTACTTAATGATTGCTATTCTCCCTGATCGATATCAGACATACATGTGCTACATTGTGAGAGGATGTCAGGGACATTTAGCCTTTAGTACAGGGAGATATTTGCTTCTATCGTGGCGAATTCTAAAATAGCAAACATGTATGACATAGTTAGACGACCCGTGAAGATTCGGGGTGGAATAGGTCTTCAGCAACCAATGCTTGCCGTAACAGGCGACTATGCTTGTCGTAAAAGGCGACTAACGGGATCGGGTGGTCAGGCTCGCTGACTTGGTTAATGCATGTCATCGTATCCCAATTGTGTAGATCGATGCTCATGATGTCAATCACTGGATTGTCTGGTCCAGACTCGATTATTTACAGACCGCCGTCATATAGCTGGAATATTACTGAGTGTGGCCATCAAATCAAATATAATCAGACAACAATCGATCGGACATACTTCTCCAGTCAGTTTTCAAGTCGTGTGAAGAATTCGGTATCCAACATTCTGTATTTGAACATCGTCATCGTCGTCGTCATCATCATCACCATCACCATCATCATCATCGTCGTCGTCGTCGTCGTCGTCATTATCGTCTTCGTTACCACCACCACCATCATGGTCATCATCGTCGTCGTCAACGTCGTCATCGTCGTCGTCATCATTATCGTCGTCGTCACCACCACCATCATCATCATCATCACCACCACCAACACCAACACATCATCATCATCTTCGTCGTTGTTGTTATTATTGTTTACAGATTAAAATAAACATGCAGTAAAGAGGGTTTCCCCAACCCTATTTTGGAAAATAATGTACACACAAATGTTTGCTGAGACGGTCAGCTCAATATGTCCTCACAAGCTGATAACGAACAATTCCCATACTCTCCCTATCTCGCCCTACCTCGTGCCGACTCCCTGTTTCTGTCAGGACACGTCTCACCCCGTTGTCAGCAGCCACAGCTCCAGGGCATTGTTCCCCCTTCATGTCGTCCCCCAACCCCATCCTTGATGTCGTGACCCCCCTGTCCCTGATCGAGCCCTTATCGCCTGACACAGCGCTGTTAACAGCCATGCATCAGTGTAGGTTGTGCTCAGACCTATAACTCGCCCTGATGAACAATTGAGATCTTTAGACTTTATTAAGTGTCACTACAATGCTGATATATCTATAATCTATTGTGAAAGGGGTGATATTATATTATGGATTTTCAAATTCATTCAGAAAGAATTTTCAGGGTAATCAAGTTGTAAAAGGGGCCCTCTCTCACCTGCGGACCGTAAATCAGGTGAGATAAAGTCGGTAGTTCTGGTAAAGTTCAAAATCTTTTTTTAATGCAAAAAGAAGTGGATGGGGCACTATGTGTGCAGGTGTACACGGGTTTAGATAACGTCCACACTGCTATCATTAGGCTTCGTCGTTGTTTGTAAAATTACCGTATCATAATGTGACTGATATCGATTAACACAAAGATGTCAGTAGGAAAACCTTATATTGCCACCCTGGTACCATAATTACATATTTTGTAACTAAAAAATCCTCTTTAATTCAATTATTTGTTTATTTTTTCGAAATTTCACATTTTTTCGTTACTTCCATCAGATTTTCTTAAGTTCGATTATTTTCTTGTTATTTTAATTTTATTGTTAGAAAGTGGAAATTTCAATTAATTTCTCGTTAATTTTTTTGTATTCGATTGGTTTCTCGTTACTTATATTTTTCTCTCGAAACTTCAATTATTTTATCGTATTTTCAGCTTTAGCTGAAAAGCTCGAAATTTCGAGAAAATAATCGAAACAACGAGAAAAAACTTGAAATGTCGAGAAAAAAGATAAAATAATTGAAATACGAGAAATATACCCGAAATTTAAATAAATAGAATTAAGCTATCAAAGAGGTAATATTTAAATTTAAGCTTTCGTAGGTCAGTGTAGGTCTTGCCGCCCATTCTTACCCAGGTAGAGGCACTGGATCCCATGTGCCTGTGTTTAAAACACCCGAGTCTCTTCATCTACTCCGTGGGTCAGTTTATACACTCCGTGTGTCTCTTCATCCACTTCGTGCGTCTCTTCATCCACTCGGTGTGTCTCTACTCCCACTCCTTGTGTCTTTTCATCGACTCCCCGTGTCTCTTCATCCACTCCGTGTGTCTCTTCATCCACTCCGTGTGTCTCTTCATCCACTCGGTGTGTCTCTACTCCCACTCCGTGTGTCTCTTCATCCACTCCGTGTGTCTCTTCATCGACTCCCCGTGTCTCTTCATCCACTCCGTGTGTCTCTTCATTGACTCCCCGTGTCTCTTCATCCACTCCGTGTGTCTCTTCATCCACTCCGTGTGTCTCTTCATCGACTCCCCTTGTCTCTTCATCCACTCCTTGTGTCTTTTCATCGACTCCGTGTGTCTCTTCATCCACTCGGTGTGTCTCTTCTCCCACTCCGTGTGTCTCTTCATCCACTCCGTGTGTCTCTTCATCGACTCCCCGTGTCTCTTCATCCACTCCGTGTGTCTCTTCATTGACTCCCCGTGTCTCTTCATCCACTCCGTGTGTCTCTTCATCCACTCCGTGTGTCTCTTCATCGACTCCCCTTCTCTCTTCATCCACTCCTTGTGTCTTTTCATCGACTCCCCGTGTCTCTTCATCCACTCCGTGTGTCTCTTCATCGACTCCCCGTGTCTCTTCATCCACTCCGTGTGTCTCTTCATTGACTCCCCGTGTCTCTTCATCCACTCCATGTGTCTCTTCATCCACTCCGTGTGTGTCTCTACATTCACTCCATGTGTCTCTTCGTCAACTTCGTATGTCTCCATCCACTTGGGGTGTTTCTTCATCCACTTCGTGTGTCTCTTCATCCACTCCGTGTGTCTCTTCATCCACTCCGTGTAAGTCTCTTCATCCACTCCGTGTGTCTCTTCATCAACTCCGTGTGTGTCTCTTCATCAACTTCGTGTGTCTCCTCATCCACTCGGTGTGTCTCTACTCCCACTCCGTGTGTCTCTTCATCTACCTCGTGTGTCTCTTCATCCACTCCGTGTGTCTCTTCATCCACTCCTTGTGTCTCTTCATCGACTCCGTGTGTCTCTTCATCTACTCCCCGTGTCTCTTCATCCGCTCTATGTGTCTCTTCATCCACTCCGTGTGTCTCTTCATCCACTCCGTGTGTCTCTTCATCCACTCCGTGTGTCTCTTCATCCCATCCATGTGTCTCTTCATCCACTCCATGTGTCTCTTCATCCACTCCATGTGTCTCTTCATCCACTCCATGTGTCTCTTCATCCCATCCATGTGTCTCTTCATCCACTCCATGTGTCTCTTCCTCCACTCCATGTGTCTCTTCATCCGCTCCATGTGTCTCTTCATCCGCTCCATGTGTCTCTTCATCCATTCCGTGTCTCTTCATCCCATCCATGTGTCTCTTCATCCACTCCGTGTGTCTCTTCATCCACTCCGTGTGTCTCTTTATCCACTCCATGTGTCTCTTCATCCATTCCGTGTGTCTCTTCTTCTGCTCCGTGTGTCTCTTCATCCACTCCATGAGTCTCTTCATCCACTCCGTGTGTCTCTTCATTGACTCCCCGTGTCTCTTCATCCACTCGGTGTGTCTCTTCATCCACTCCGTGTGTCTCTTCATCCACTCCGTGTGTCTCTTCATCCACTCGGTGTGTCTCTTCATCCACTCCGTGTGTCTCTTCATCCACTCCATGTGTCTCTTCATCCCATCCATGTGTCTCTTCATCTACTCCATGTGTCTCTTCATCCACTCGGTGTGTCTCTTCATCCACTCCGTGTGTTTCTTCATCCACTCCGTGTGTCTCTTCATCCACTCGGTGTGTCTCTTCATCCACTCCTCGTGTCTCTTCATCCACTGCGTGTGTCTCTTCATCCCATCCATGTGTCTCTTCATCCACTCGGGGTGTCCCTTCATCCACTCCGTGTGTCTCTTCATCCACTTCATGTGTCTCTCCATCCACTTCATGTGTCTCTCCATCCACTTCATGTGTCTCTTCATCCACTCCTTGTGTCTCCTGATCCACTTTGTGTGTCTCTTCATCCACTCCGTGTGTCTCTTCATCCACTTCATGTGTCTCTACTCCCACTCCGTGTGTCTCTTCGTCCACTTCATGTGTCTCTCCATCCACTTCATGTGTCTCTTCATCCACTCCGTGTGTCTCTTCATCCACTTCATGTGTCTCTACTCCCACTCCGTGTGTCTCTTCATCCACTCCGTGTGTCTCTTCATCTGCTCGTGTGTCTCTTCATCCACTCCGTGTGTCTCTTCATCCCACTTCATGTGTCTCTACTCCCACTCCGTGTGTCTCTTCATCTGCTCCGTGTGTCTCTTCATCCACTTCATGTGTCTCTACTCCCACTCCGTGTGTCTCTTCATCCACTCCATGTGTCTCTTCATCTACCTCGTGTGTCTCTTCATCCACTCCATGTGTCTCTTCATCCACTCGGTGTGTCTCTTCATCCACTCCGTGTGTCTCTTCATCCACTCGGTGTGTCTTTTCATCCACTCGGTGTGTCTCTTCATCCACTCGGTGTGTCTCTTCATCCACTCGGTGTGTCTCTTCATCCACTCCGTATGTGTCTTTTCATCCACTCCGTATGTGTCTCTTCATCCACTCCGTTCATGTCTCTTCATCCACTCCGTGTGTCTCTTCATCCACTCCGCGTGTCTCTTCATCCCATCCATGTGTCTCTTCATCCACTCCGTGTGTCTCTTCATCCACTCGGTGTGTCTCTTCATTTGCTCCGTGTGTCTCTCCATCCACTTCATGTGTCTCTTCATCCACTCGGTGTGTCTCTTCATCCACACCGTGTGTCTCTTCATCCACTCCATGTGTCTCTTCATCCCATCCATGTGTCTCTTCATCTGCTCCGTGTGTCTCTTCATCCACTCGGTGTGTCTCTTCATCCCATCCATGTGTCTCTTCATCTGCTCCGTGTGTCTCTTCATCTGCTCGTGTGTCTCTTCATCCACTTCGTGTAAGTCTCTTCATCCACTCCATATTGCCAAAACTCTCTTTTCGCATCCTAAACTGATGTTGACGAAATGCCGGAAAGTTGACTAATTCGAACTTCTTTTCGTAACAGACAACGAGGAGTGATACGCTCAGCCGAAAGAAGATACACGACAGTCAGTTTTCTGTCTCATGTAAGTTGGAAGACTGACCTCTGTCCCACCTCAAGGTCAGATCAAGGTGAGCGACTGACGTCTGCGTTAACCCGGAGGTTTGGTACACTGGTGGTTGCCTCGTCACGCTGAAGACCCGGGTTCTCCACATGGTGTCTCCCTCCAAGATATTGCTGGAATATTGCTTAGCGCAGCGTAAAACCACTATCTTAATCCACCAGTCTCTGTTGTGTAAATCTTACATCTGTAATGAAACCCCTTGAATCGTTTAGCTAATGGCCTGAAACAGTAAAATTAGGCCTCCTCCCTGTGTCTGTGCATTTGTTAGGCCGCTATGATGGCCTTGGTGTTATACTGCTAGATGTAAAATCTAATGATAATGACAGGATACATACTTACACTATCTCACTCACTCACTCACTCACTCGCACACGTACACACACACGCACGCAAACGTACACACACGAGTACGCACGCACACACACATGTAGGTACAAATGTACGCACACACAAACATGCACGCGCACACCAACGTACGCACAGACACACATACGAAAACATGTATGCACACACACACGTACATGCACACGAGTACGTACACACACGCACACATGTACACACACGCCTGTACACACATGTGTACGGAACAAACACATGTACGCACAATTGGACACAGTCACGCACGTACGCACGCGCGCACTCACACACACACACACACACACACACACACACACACACACATGTACACACACGCACTTAAACGCACATGTACACACACACACACACATGTACACACACACACACGCGCGCGCGCGCACGCACGCACGCACACACACACGCACACACACACACACACACACACACACACACACACACACTCACTTCCCTCCTCCGTGACATTGCTGGAATAGTGCTAATGCGGCTTGAAAATATTTGACTAATGTATTTCACTGTTGACTCCCTGGGGAGTATACACACTGATATCTATTCTTGTTCCAGGATCCGATGAGCTCGCACCAGCCCCAACGACCACGTCATGCCTCGCATCACGCGCTCTGCTAGCACCGGCGGGATCAGAATCAACCCTCACGTGACGTTCCGAAGCAGGTCGTCGCAAGACAATGTGTCGTCAGCAGTGTTGGTACAGAAGGGGAACCTGACGCCGCAGTCCTCGGCTGAGGTTTCGATGTCAGAGTCGTCGCCACTTCTGTCCGATTCGGTGACGATATCCCTGGGGAACGGGTACGTGTCAGATATCGCTGGGGAATGGGTACGTGTCAGATATCGCTGGAGAATGGGTACGTGTCAGATATCGCTGGAGAATGGGTACGTGTCAGTTATATCGCTGGGGAATGGGTACGTGTCAGATATCGCTGGAGAATGGGTACGTGTCAGATATCGCTGGGGAATGGGTACGTGTCAGATATCGCTGGGGAATGGGTACGTGTCAGATATCGCTGAGACTGGGTGCATGTCCAATATCGCCGGAGAGCTTGAACATTTTAGATATCGCTGGGGAATGGGTACGTGTCAGATATCGCTGGGGAATGGGTACGTGTCAGATATCACTGAGACCAGGTGCATGTCCAATATCGCCGGGGAACCTGAACATTTTAGATATCGCTGGGGAATGGGTACGTGTCAGATATCGCCGGAGAATGGGTACGTGTCAGATATCGCTGGGGAATGGGTACGTGTCAGATATCGCTGGGGAATGGGTACGTGTCAGATATCACTGAGACCAGGTGCATGTCCAATATCGCCGGGGAACCTGAACATTTTAGATATCGCTGGGGAACGGTTTCGTCTCATATATTGCTGGGAACGGGGTATATGTCAAATATCGCTGGGGAATGGGAAAATTTCAGATATCGCTGGGGAATGGGTACGTGTGGGATATCGCAGGGATCGGGGTACATGTCAAATATCGCAGGGGAATGGGTACATAGACTGATACATGTGTAGACGGGAACTGATTTACAAACAACCTAGATTTGCTGAATGGCTTGGGGAAGGGCGGCGTCCCCGGACCAGTGACCATCTGGGACAATCAAGACATGTTCACGGTTTCATTCTTTCATGTCACAGTCTTCTACATCACGAAATGTGAAAAGAAATAATCTTGGATGACATTTTAAATGACACTCATTCTGAAGCCCAATGTATAATGTGTTTTTTTTGTTGGTTAACGCCGCACTCAGCAATATTCCAGCTATATGACGGCGGTCTGTTAATAATCGAGTCTGGACCAGACAATCCAGTGATTGACATCGTGAGCATCGATCCACACAACTGGGATAAGATGACATGCATCAGCCAAGTCAGCGAGCCTGACCACCCGATCCCGTTAGTCGCCTCTTACGACAAGCATAGTCGCCATTTACGGCAAGCATGGGTTGCTGAATTCTACCCCGGATCTTCACGAAAAAACCCAATGTATGAAGTAGAAAGCGGCTGGGGTAGGGATGAAAAAGGGTGGACTACATATAGAAAATCGGCTGAACTGGTAGAAATAATATTGGCCAATACATCGGCTCTTTATTAATGACCTATGCAATCCTGACAGGGCTCTGAAGAAGTCGGAGAAAGTGCTGGAGGAAGACCTTGACGACGACGTCTTCACGTCTTCAACGACGTGCACGAAGAAGGTCGTCTTCCATCACATCAAGGTTGCCGTCATCCTTCTCCTGACTCTGGTGTGCAGTGTGAGTATAGACCAGACACCAGGTGTTCATCCTTCTCCTGACTCTGGTGTGCAGCGTGAGTATAGACCAGACACCGGGTGTTCATCCTTCTCCTGACTCTGGTGTGCAGTGTGAGTATAGACCAGACACCGGGTGTTCATCCTTCTCCTGACTCTGGTGTGCAGTGTGAGTATAGACCAGACACCAGGTGTTCATCCTTCTCCTGACTCTGGTGTGCAGCGTGAGTATAGACCAGACACCGGGTGTTCATCCTTCTCCTGACTCTGGTGTGCAGTGTGAGTATAGACCAGACACCGGGTGCTCGTCCTTCTCCCGACTCTGGTCTGCAGTGTGAGTATAGACCAGACACCGGGTGTTCGTCCTTCTCCTGACTCTGGTGTGCAGTGTGAGTATAGACCAGACACCGGGTGTTCATCCTTCTCCTGACTCTGGTGTGCAGTGTGAGTATAGACCAGACACCGGGTGTTCATCCTTCTCCTGACTCTGGTTTGCAGTGTGAGTATAGACCAGAGACCGGGTGTTCATCCTTCTCCTGACTCTAGTCTGCAGTGTGAGTATAGACCAGACACCGGGTGTTCATCCTTCTCCTGACTCTGGTTTGCAGTGTGAGTATAGACCAGACACCGGGTGTTCATCCTTCTCCTGACTCTGGTTTGCAGTGTGAGTATAGACCAGACACCGGGTGTTCATCGTTCTCCTGACTCTGGTGTGCAGTGGGAGTATAGACCAGACACCGGGTGTTAAAATGTCTCCACCTAGATGATCCCAGCACCATGTCTGAGGTCAGTGGGTAAGATGGGTTTAACGCCGCTTTGGGCATTAGGTCAGTTGTATCAGGGCGTGGCAGATTCCCATGGGAAGCTCCTATGGGCAGGGGGGGTGACCTTGACAAACGTGGAACAAGATCAGGCCAAACCAAGCCCGATGATAAGTTTCTGGCACGCCTAAGAGTGGAATTCTGCGCAGTGACTTCCGGTATGGAGAGCTAATAGCTAAATCGTTATAAGCAGCTTCAATGTGAGGTTTGACACCTTGGCATGGGAGGAAGGCCCAATGTATGGTGGTAAGAAACCATTATCAAGGTGAATCGGGATTCGAAATCACAACGATACGATCCTGGCACGCCTCGGGGACGCAGCTCTACACAGCACGGCGCTTTATACACCAACACCCCACTCCACGTTAGAACTACAATGGAATGTCCTTGGTCTGTTACAGTTCTACATCGTCCTGAACATCGAGGTGGAGGAGGAGTGGCGCCAGTTTAGTGTGGAACCGCTACAGCACACAGGTAAACCTTACATGGCATCTTGCTATACCTGCATCCTTACATGGCATCTTGCTATACCAGCTTCCTTACATGGCATCTTGCTATACCAGCATCCTTACATGACATCTTGCAATACCAGCATCCTTACATGACATCTTGCTATACCTGCATCCTTACATGGCAAATTGCTATACCAGCATCCTTACATGACATCTTGCTATACCAGCATCCTTACATGACATCTTGCTATACCAGCATCCTTACATGGCATCTTGCTATACCAGCATGCTTACATGACATCTTGCTATACCAGCATCCTTACATGGCATCTTGCTATACCAGCATCCTTACATGGCAAATTGCTATACCAGCATCATAACATGACATCTTGCTATACAAGCATGCCCTACATGGCATCTTGCTATACCTGCCTCCTTACATCGCATCTTGCTATACCATCATCCTTACATGACATCTTGCTATACCAGCATCCTTACATGACATCTTGCTATACAAGCATGCCCTACATGGCATCTTGCTATACCTCTATCCTTACATGGCATCTTGCTATACCATCATCCTTACATGACATCTTGCTATACCAGCATCCTTACATGACATCTTGCTATACCAGCATCCTTAAATGACATCTTGCTATACCAGCATCCTTACATGACATCTTGATATACCAGCATCCTTACATGACATCTTGCTATACCAGCATCCTTACATGACATCTTGCTATACCAGTATCCTTACATGGCATCTTGCTATACCAGCATCCTTACATGACATCTTGCTATACCAGCATCCTTACATGACATCTTGCTATACCTGCATCCTTACATGGCATCTTGCTATACCAGCATCCTTACATGGCATCTTGCTATACCAGCATCCTTACATGACATCTTGCTATACCAGGATCCTTACATCGCATCTTGCTATACCAGCATCCTAACATGACACCTTGCTATACCAGCAGGCCCTACATGGCATCTTGCCATAACAGCCTCCTTACATCGCATCTTGCTATACCAGCATCCTTACATGACATCTTGCTATACCAGCATCCTTAAATGACATCTTGCTATACCAGCCTCCTTACATGGCATATTGCTATACCAGCATCCCCAATCGCATCTTGCTATACCAGCATCCCCAATCGCATCTTGCTATACCAGCATCCTAACATGACATCTTGCTAAAACCAGCATCCTTACATGACATCTTGCTATACCAGCATCCTTACATGACATCTTGCTATACCAGCATCCATACATGACATCTTCCTATACCAGCATCCTTACATGGTATCTTGCTATACCAGCATCCTTACATGACATCTTGCTATACCAGCATCCTTACATGACATTTTGCTATACCAGCATCCTTACATGACATCTTGCTATACCAGCATCCTTTAATGACATCTTGCTATACCAGCATCCTTTAATGACATCTTGCTATACCAGCATCCTTAAATGACATCTTGCTATACCAGCATTCCCTCATTTCCTCACTCATTCCCTCACGCCGTCACTCTTTCTCTCTCATTCCCTCACACTTTCATTCCCTCACGCCGTCACTCTTTCTCTCACTTTCATTCCCTCACACTTTCATTCCCTCACACCGTCACTCTTTCTCTCACTCATTCCCTCACTCTCATTCCCTCACGCCGTCACTCTTTCTCTCACTCATTCCCTCACGCCGTCACGCTTTCTCTCACTCATTCCCTCACACTTTCATTCCCTCACACCGTCACTCTTTCTCTCACTTTCATTCCATCACGCCGTCACTCTTTCTATCACTCATTCCCTCACACTTTCATTCCCTCACACAGTCACTCTTTCTCTCACTTTCATTCCCTCACGCCGTCACTCTTTCTCTCACTTTTATTCCCTCACGCCGTCACTCTTTCTCTCACTTTCATTCCCTCACACTTTCATTCCCTCACACCGTCACTCTTTCTCTCACTCATTCCCTTTCACTTTCATTCCCTCACGCCGTCACTCTTTCTCTCACTTTCATTCCCTCATACTTTCATTCCCTCACACCGTCACTCTTTCTCTCACTCATTCCCTCACGCCGTCACTCTTTCTCTCACTCATTCCCTCACACTTTCATTACCTCACGCCGTCACTCTTTCTCTCATTCCCTCACACTTTCATTCCCTCGCGCCGTCACTCTTTCTCTCACTCATTTCCTCACACTTTCATTCCCTCACGCCGTCACTCTTTCTCTCACTCATTCCCTCACACTTTCATTCCCTCACGCCGTCACTCTTTCTCTCATTCCCTCACACTTTCATTCCCTCGCGCCGTCACTCTTTCTTTCACTTTCATTCCCTCACACCGTCACTCTTTCTCTCACTTTCATTCCCTCACACTTTCATTCCCTCACACCGTCACTCTTTCTCTCACTCATTCCCTCACACTTTCATTCCCTCACGCCGTCACTCTTTCTCTCACTTTCATTCCCTCACACTTTCATTCCCTCACACCGTCACTCTTTCTCTCACTCATTCCCTCACGCCGTCACTCTTTCTCTCACTCATTCCCTCACACTTTCATTCCCTCACGCCGTCACTCTTTCTCTCATTCCCTCACACTTTCATTCCCTCGCGCCGTCACTCTTTCTCTCACTCATTTCCTCACACTTTCATTCCCTCACGCCGTCACTCTTTCTCCCACTTTCATTCCATCACACTTTCATTCTCTCACGCCGTCACTCTTTCTCTCACTCATTCCCTCACACTTTCATTCCCTCACGCCGTCACTCTTTCTCCCACTCATTCCCTCACACTTTCATTCCCTCACGCCGTCACTCTTTCTCTCACTCATTCCCTCACACTTTCATTCCCCCACGCCGTCAGTCTTTCTCTCTCATTCCCTCACACTTTCATTCCCTCACGCCGTCACTCTTTCTCTCACTTTCATTCCCTCACACCGTCACTCTTTCTCTCACTCATTCCCTCACTCTCATTCCCTCACGCCGTCACTCTTTCTCTCACTCATTCCCTCACACTTTCATTCCCTCACGCCGTCAGTCTTTCTCTCTCATTCCCTCACACTTTCATTCCCTCACGCCGTCACTCTTTCTCTCACTTTCATTCCCTCACGCCGTCACTCTTTCTCTCAGTCATCCTCCTGTCACTCTCCTTCAGGTCTGAAGTTGGAGCATGCGAGTGCCACGTACCCCGTCGTGAGGATGTCGCTACAAGGACCCTTCGTGGAGGAGGAGGACGTTGAGATTGGGATGGAGGGGACGGAGCCGATGCAAATCCGACTAGCCAATCAAACAGTCAGTCCTAACAGCTTCAACACTGTGTTTAATGTCGCATACAACACAACTTTGGATAGGGATTATATATACTCTTCAAAAAAAAGAAACTTGACATAGATGTAAAACCACTTTTTGCCAAATATCTAAAATAATTACATTAAATGAGAACAAAATAAGTCAAACAGAAAGATGATGTGTCTATAATTCGCGAAAACACATGCAAAGCACATAAACGTAGCGTTTGGGGATCAATTTTACAGCTTCATTCAAACGCAACCGCCTGTAAAAAACGTGCAGCACAGGATCCTGCATTTAGGCATCCAACACTTCCGGCGCTTCTTGATGCACTTCAGCATGAATGGCAGCACATCCAACAGCGTGTTATTGACAACTTGTTTGCATCTATGGGTCGTCGGTGTCAAGCGGTGATTGATGCACGTGGTGGGCACAACCGATACTGACATTTGCTGTACCCCTGTGACATTAACTGTATCGTGTACGTGTGTACTCTAGGTGACACGATTAATGTTTTGAACATTGTGTACATTGATCTTCAAACAGTGTTTCAATTATGGTTTCTGTGTCCTATTTTGAAACAATCGCATTATATTACATTATAATGAAAGTCAGTGTCAAGTTTCTTTTTTTTGAAGAGTATATTTCAATACACGCTTGACATATTTTAGAATATTTTTTGTGTATGGGAAAGATAAATATATACCCTTCAAGAGCAAAGTAGTATATTTTTATCAATACTTTTGTCAATACAGTAACATTTGATCACCAAAACATCCTCCATACGACGGCAGCACTTTAACTCTGATAAAGAAGATGTAGTAGTCGTGATTGAAGTATCAGCTGTCGTTGTTGGGGTAGTGGCTGTGCTGATGATGCGGGATACTGATGAATTTATTTCCTCCCTAGTGGACGTTGCACGTGAACACCACCAAGCTCCTGGAGGAAGTACCTGTAACGATGGAGCACACTTTCACATGCACAAGGTAAACCACGCACACACATTTACTATTTTAAAAAACAACTAATAATGACATGAACGAGTTGTCAATGTGCACGTAACAGCCAATGCAACGTCGCAATCACTCAAACGTTATCTATGGAATATTGTAAGGGACAAAGGTCGCGATCGCGGGAATGGGAGATCGCGAGAATGTCCCTTACAGTATTTCATAGTTATCCCATTCTTACAGCTTTATATAAGCGACCAAAGCAGCGCCAGCACCCTTCCTCTCCCAGGAGTCGCTGTGGTGTAACAATATCTCTGTAGCCAGTAAATAATAGACCCGTGAAGATCCGGGGTGGAATAGGTCTTCAGCAACCCATGCTTGCCGTAAAGGGTGACTATGCTTGTCGTAAGAGGCGACTAACGGGATCGGGTGGTCAGGCTCGCTGACTTGGTTGATGCATGTCACCGTATCCCAATTGCTTGGATCGATGCTCATGATGTCAATCACTGGATTGTCTGGTCCAGACTCGATTAACTACAGACCGCCGTCATATAGCTGGAATACTGCTGAGTGCGCCGTTAAACAACAAACAAACAAAGTAAATAACGGTCAGGCACCAGCTCGGAGTCACGTGTTGTCGACGTCCTGTCTTCCAGTTTCGAGAGTCCTTGCTCCGTGGACGTCAACAGCAGCTCGGAATCCACCATCTCTTTCTTCTACTCCTACCACCCCCTCGCCACCGACCACGAGAATAGCGTCGTCTACGCCCTGATCGTCCTCCTCCTCGTCTACGTCCTTATCATTTTAGAGGTGAGCGTGCTTGCACGGACAGGGTTAGGGACGCTCGTTCAGGGCTATTCCCCGTGGATGGCCGGCCATGTGATCTATGGCATGAGTTTTAGCGTGTCAGGTTGGTGGATGTGGAAAGCCGGAAGTGATGCAGGGCTAAGACTTAACCAAGTTTGTGAATCCTACGAACACGGGTATGATGCTGACAAAAACTAGACAAAACTATAATCAGGGCGAACCAAGATTCGAACCTACGATCATCTTTGTTTATGGCACGTCAAAGGGACACAACTCTGCCCAGCGAATTGCGTGCCTTACACAACTGAGCCACACTTGCTCCCATGTAAATACTATGTTAGTTACTACTGAGTAGAACTATATGAATACCATGTTAGTTACTACTGAGTAGAACTATATGAATACCATGTTAGTTACTACTGAGTAGAACTATATGAATACCATGTTAGTTACTACTGAGTAGAACTATATGAATACCATGTTAGTTACTACTGAGTAGAACTATATGAATACCATGTTAGTTACTACTGAGTAGAACTATATGAATACCATGTTTGTTACTACTGAGTAGAACTATATGAATACTATGTTAGTTACTACTGAGTAGAACTATATGAATACCATGTTAGTTACTACTGAGTAGAACTATATGAATACCATGTTAGTTACTACTGAGTAGAACTATATGAATACCATGTTAGTTACTACTGAGTAGAACTATATGAATACCATGTTAGTTACTACTGAGTAGAACTATATGAATACCATGTTAGTTACTACTGAGTAGAACTATATGAATACCATGTTAGTTACTACTGAGTAGAACTATATGAATACCATGTTTGTTACTACTGAGTAGAACTATATGAATACCATGTTAGTTACTACTGAGTAGAACTATATGAATACCATGTTAGTTACTACTGAGTAGAACTATATGAATACCATGTTAGTTACTACTGAGTAGAACTATATGAATACCATGTTAGTTACTACTGAGTAGAACTATATGAATACCATGTTAGTTACTACTGAGTAGAACTATATGAATACCATGTTTGTTACTACTGAGTAGAACTATATGAATACTATGTTAGTTGGAACTGAATTAAACTATATGAATACTATGTTAGTACTGAATTAAACTATGTGAATAGTTAATAATTGATTGAGTGATATATAGTCCAGAAATAAACTAGTTAAATGCTATGGAAATGAGAAATGTTGCAACCTGCCGAATAAAGGAATTAATGCTATGTAAAAAGCCGGGCAAAAGAAAGTATATACTTGAAACTTGGATTTTACCACACAATTATAAACGTTATGAAAACGATACTAGGCTTAAAACAGTCGCGGGGAGACTGCGAACTTAAGGTCCAAAACACAACTGTGACACCCGTATCAAATACATCACCAACGAGCAACCATTTCTTGTTTGTTTCATTTTAGCCTCCATAAAAAAGGTGTATACTTTCTTTGCCCGGTAGTTTAGTACTGTGTAAATAGTACGTGAATTATTACTGTGTAAATACTACGTGAATTGGTACTGTGTAAATACTACGTAGTACTGTGTAAATACTACGTGAAATAGTACTGTGTAAATACTACGTGAATTGGTACTGTGTAAATACTACGTGAATTGGTACTGTGTAAATACTACGTGAATTCGTACTGTGTAAATACTACGTGAATTAGTACTGTGTAAATACTACGTGAATTAGTGCTGTGTAAATACTACGTGAATTGGTTCTGTGTAAATACTACGTGAATTAGTTTTCTATAGACTCATAGGCCCATGACTGTCAACCATGACTGTCCCCTACCAGGAGATAATGTTGGTGTTATAAAAGGGAGGTTAATTTCGTCCGTCCCTGTATTTTAGTACTGTGTAAATACTACGTGAATTAGTACTGTGTAAATACTACGTGAATTAGTTTTCTATAGACTAATAGGCCCATGACTGTTAACCACGACTGTCCCCTACCAGGAGATAATGTTGGTGTTATATAAGGGAGGTTAATTTCGTCCGTCCCTGTATTTCAGCTGGTCCACAGAACTCTGGCTGCCCTGCTGGGGTCCCTGGCGGCCGTGGCTGTCCTGGCGGCGCTCAATGAAGTACGAGTTGATCGAATAATATGTCCAGATAAAGTGATATATTGTTAAATTGAACTATATACATCTAGCTTGAATGACACATTTCTTGATCAAATGATACATTTCTGGACAGAAGGACATATTTCTAGACTGAAAATTCTCTGGATTGAGTGGTATGTTTATATATCTTTACCACCTAAAAAACAAGTTTTCCTGATACCTCATGAAGACAAACAGACAAGTTTTCAACAAAGCTCAGAAGTCGTGTGAAAATGTTCCAATCCGGATGTAAATTACTATAGGAACTATAGCTACTGCAGCTACTATGACCACCTGTGTTATGTGGACAATGACCAGTAGGTGTGATAATGAGGGGTGTATTTATTCAGCGCCCCACGATGGAGACGATTGTGAGCTGGATCGACATGGAGACTCTCTCCCTCCTGTTCGGCATGATGATCCTCGTCGCCATCTTCTCCGACACCGGGTTCTTCGACTACTCGGCGCTCAAGGTGAGTGAGTGAGTTGTTTGGGGTGGGCGAGTGAGATAGTGAGTGAGTTATACATATGTATGTGTATGTGTGTGAGAGAGAGAGAGGGAGAGGGAGAGAGAGAGGGAGAGGGAGAGGGGGAGGGGGAGGGGGAGGGGGAGTCAACGGCACACGTTCATGGTAGGACACAAAAACAATATATATTGTACCAGTCAGAGCCGAGTCGCCCCTTCAAATACAGTGTGAAGACGTTGACATATAGCTGGAAGCGGCGTTAAATCTTAAGTAAATCATGAGTATTACAAAACACTTTCCCATTCTCTATCGCACATCCAACCACATCACATGGTCTGAATGGCCTTCACAGTACTGTATTGCGTCCATGTCACAGGCCTACGAGTTGGCCAAGGGGAAGATCTGGCCGCTCATCACTCTGCTGTGCATCTTCAGTGGGGTCGTCTCCGCCTTCCTCGACAACGTCACCACTATCCTGCTTCTTGCACCCGTCACCATCAGGTAATATTGTTACACCTGTCATCACCAGGTAATATTGTCACACATGTCATCTCCAGGTCATATTGTCACACATGTCATCATCAGGTAATATTGTCACACCTGTCATCATCAGGTAACATTGTCACACCTGTCATCATCAGGTAACATTGTCACACCTGTCATCATCAGGTAATATTGTCACACCTGTCATCATCAGGTAATATTGTCACACCTGTCATCATAAGGTCATATTGTCACACCTGTCATCATCAGGTAATATTGTCACACCTGTCATCATAAGGTCATATTGTCACACCTGTCATCACCAGGTAATATTGTCACACCTGTCATCATAAGGTCATATTGTCACACCTGTCATCATCAGGTAATATTGTCACACCTGTCATCATAAGGTTATATTGTCACACCTGTCATCATCAGGTAATAATGTCACACCTGTCATCATAAGGTAATATTCTTGCAAGCTGACATGGGAACTGAAATGATATCACTCTGTGAAGCCATTAACAATGGATGACGTCATATCATATTTTTCTCAGCAATGACGTCATATCAATCGATCAGTCGGATCACTGAATTGCAAAATGTAGAAAGATAGACGAGGTATTAAACCCCCTTTTTTCACACACATGTGTTATACGTCTGTGTATCCTCTGTGTTTCAGGCTGTGCGAGGTTCTCAACCTTGACCCGAAGCAGATTCTCATGGCGGAGGTATTGTTCTCGAACATCGGCGGGACGGCGACGGCGATAGGCGATCCCCCTAACGTCATCATCGTGGGCGCTACAGCGAGCCAGGTAACTGGAACCTGCATATATCGCCTAGAATGACCCGGGCACTACAACGAGCCTGACACCAGTGTGTTACAGACATGTGTGTCAGACAGTGTGTTACAGACATGTGTGTCAGACAGTGTGTTACAGACATGTGTGTCAGACAGTGTGTTACAGACATGTGTGTCAGACAGTGTGTTACAGACATGTGTGTCAGACAGTGTGTTACAGACATGTGTGTCAGACTGTGTTACAGACATGTGTGTCAGACAGTGTGTTACAGACATGTGTGTCAGACAGTGTGTTACAGACATGTGTGTCACTGTGTTACAGACATGTGTGTCAGACTGTGTGTTACAGACATGTGTGTCAGACAGTGTGTTACAGACATGTGTGTCAGACAGTGTGTTACAGACATGTGTGTCAGACAGTGTGTTACAGACATGTGTGTCAGACAGTGTGTTACAGACATGTGTGTCAGACAGTGTGTTACAGACATGTGTGTCAGACAGTGTGTTACAGTCATGTGTGTCAGACAGTGTGTTACAGACATGTGTGTCAGACAGTGTGTTACAGACATGTGTGTCAGACAGTGTGTTACAGACATGTGTGTCAGACAGTGTGTAACAGACACTCTCGTTTCCCCCTCATCTTCGTGTGAAGTATTGTACGGACGCTTGTTTCCCCTTTTCTCCGTGTGAAGTATTGTACGGACGCTGTTTTCCCCTCATCTTCGTGTGAAGTATTGTACGGACGCTGGTTTCCCCCTATCTCCGTGTGAAGTATTGTACGGACGCTGGTTTCCCCCTATCTCCGTGTGAAGTATTGTACGGACGCTGGTTTCCCCTTATCTCCGTGTGAAGTATTGTACGGACGCTGGTTTCCCCTTATCTCCGTGTGAAGTATTGTACGGACGCTGGTTTCCCCTTATCTCCGTGTGAAGTATTGTACGGACGCTGGTTTCCCCTTATCTCCGTGTGAAGTATTGTACGGACGCTGGTTTCCCCTTATCTCCGTGTGAAGTATTGTACGGACGCTGGTTTCCCCTTATCTCCGTGTGAAGTATTGTACGGACGCTGGTTTCCCCTCATCTCCGTGTGTAGTATTGTACGGACGCTGGTTTCCCCTTATCTCCGTGTGTAGTATTGTACGGACGCTGGTTTCCCCTTATCACCGTATGTAGTATTGTACGGACGCTGGTTTCCCCTCATCTCCGTGTGTTTCAGGGTATCACGTTCTCAGTGTTCACGGTCCACGCCGCTCTCGGCATCGTTTTCGTCTCCGTGTGAAGTATTGTACGGACGCTGGTTTCCCCTTATCTCCATGTGAAGTATTGTACGGACGCTGGTTTCCCCTTATCTCCATGTGAAGTATTGTACGGACCCTGGTTTCCCCTTATCTCCATGTGTTTCAGGGTATCACGTTCTCAGTGTTCACGGTCCACGCCGCTCTCGGCATCGTTTTCGTCTCCGTGTGAAGTATTGTACGGACGCTGGTTTCCCCTTATCTCCATGTGAAGTATTGTACGGACGCTGGTTTCCCCTTATCTCCATGTGAAGTATTGTACGGACCCTGGTTTCCCCTTATCTCCATGTGTTTCAGGGTATCACGTTCTCAGTGTTCACGGTCCACGCCGCTCTCGGCATCGTTTTCGTCTCCGTGTGAAGTATTGTACGGACGCTGGTTTCCCCTTATCTCCATGTGAAGTATTGTACGGACGCTGGTTTCCCCTTATCTCCATGTGAAGTATTGTACGGACCCTGGTTTCCCCTTATCTCCATGTGTTTCAGGGTATCACGTTCTCAGTGTTCACGGTCCACGCCGCTCTCGGCATCGTTTTCGTCTCCGTGTGAAGTATTGTACGGACGCTGGTTTCCCCTTATCTCCATGTGAAGTATTGTACGGACGCTGGTTTCCCCTTATCTCCATGTGTTTCAGGGTATCACGTTCTCAGTGTTCACGGTCCACGCCGCACTCGGCATCGTTTTCGTCTCCGTTGGCGGCTACGGCCTTCTCCGCGTCTACTACCGCAACATCGAGAACCTCAAAAACCAGGAACCGCCAGAAGTCATAGGTATCACTTGTCATGACAAACTGCTATGTAATATAATGTGTTAAATTGTTACACTTGTATTATGCTTTCTAAACAATCTTTGTTACATGTTGTCTTTAACTGTTACAATTTTAACAATCATTATTGTATATTATGTTTAACTGTTACAGTTATAACAATCTTTACTGTATATTATGTTTAATTGTTACAGTTATAACAGTCTTTGTTCTGTATCGTGTTTAAATGTTACAATTATAATAATCTTTAAGGGTAATTAACGAATTTCACAATGATCTAAGTCGCCATTATTAAAATCCCTGGGTTTTCAGCACCTAACTCGTGCTTATATGTTTCAGCAAGTAGTAGATATTCACTTGTTTAAAGAGTTCATTATTTAACTCTCTTAGTTAAAAGTTTGTTTAATTTGTGTAGAACTGCGGCGTGAGATCGAGCTATGGCGGAAGACGGCGTTCCGGGTGGGGATGCTGACGAGGGAGGAGAGTATAGTGAAGGCTCTCATACAGCAGAAGACGGCCGAGCTAGAGACCACGCTCAACAGAACTCTCCATAAACGGAGGTGGGACTCAGACACCACCTGTTACTGACGTAGACAACTCACATTACCAGACATAACCATCACTGTCATTGACGTAGACAACTCACATTACCAGACATAACCATCACTGTCACTGACATACACAACTCACATTACCAGACATAACCATCACTGACACTGACATACACAACTCACATTACCAGACATAACTATCACTGTCACTGACGTAGACAACTCACATTACCAGACATAACCATCACTGTCACTGACATACACAACTCACATTACCAGACATAACCATCACTGACACTGACGTAGTCAACTCACATTACCAGACACAACCATCACTGACACTGACGTAGACAACTCACATTACTAGACATAACCATCACTGACACTGACGTAGACAACTCACAATACTAGACATAACCATCACTGACACTGACGTACACAGCTCACATTATCAGACATAACCATCACTGACACTGACGTACACAGCTCACATTATCAGACATAACCATCACTGACACTGACGTCCACAACTCACATTACCAGACACAACCATCACTGACACTGACGCACACAACTCACATTACCAGACATAACCATCACTGACACTGACGCACACAACTCACATTACCAGACACAACCATCACTGTCACTGACGTCCACAACTCACATTACCAGACACAACCATCACTGACACTGACGCACACAACTCACATTACCAGACATAACCATCACTGACACTGACGTACACAACTCACATTACCAGACATAACCATCACTGACACTGACGTACACAACTCACATTACCAGACACAACCATCACTGACACTGACGTACACAACTCACATTACCAGACATAACCATCACTGACACTGACGTACACAGCTCACATTACCAGACACAACCATCACTGACACTGACGTACACAGCTCACATTATCAGACATAACCATCACTGACACTGACGTACACAACTCACATTACCAGACACAACCATCACTGACACTGACGCACACAACTCACATTACCAGACATAACCATCACTGACACTGACGTACACAACTCACATTACCAGACATAACCATCACTGACACTGACGCACACAACTCACATTACCAGACATAACCATCACTGACACTGACGCACACAACTCACATTACCAGACATAACCATCACTGACACTGACGTACACAACTCACATTACCAGACACAACCATCACTGACACTGACGCACACAACTCACATTACCAGACATAACCATCACTGTCACTGACGTACACAACTCACATTACCAGACATAACCATCACTGACACTGACGCACACAGCTCACATTACCAGACATAACCATCACTGACACTGACGTAGACAACTCACATTACCAGACATAACCATCACTGACACTGACGTACACAGCTCACATTACCAGACATAACCATCACTGACACTGACGCACACAGCTCACATTACCAGACATAACCATCACTGACACTGACGTACACAACTCACATTACCAGACATAACCATCACTGTCATTGACGTAGACAACTCACATTACCAGACACAACCATCACTGACACTGACGTACACAGCTCACATTACCAGACATAACCATCACTGACACTGACGTACACAACTCACATTACCAGACATAACCATCACTGACACTGACGTACACAGCTCACATTACCAGACATAACCATCACTGACACTGACGTACACAGCTCACATAACCAGACATAACCATCACTGACACTGACGTACACAACTCACATTACCAGACATAACCATCACTGTCATTGACGTAGACAACTCACATTACCAGACACATCCATCACTGACACTGACGTACACAGCTCACATTACCAGACATAACCATCACTGACACTGACGTAGACAACTCACATTACCAGACATAACCATCACTGACACTGACGTAGACAACTCACATTACCAGACACAACCATCACTGACACTGACGTACACAGCTCACATTACCAGACATAACCATCACTGACACTGACGTAGACAACTCACATTACCAGACATAACCATCACTGACACTGACGTAGACAACTCACATTACCAGACATAACCATCACTGACACTGACGTACACAACTCACATTACCAGACACAACCATCACTGACACTGACGTCCACAACTCACATTACCAGACATAACCATCACTGACACTGACGTCCACAACTCACATTACCAGACATAACCATCACTGACACTGACGTAGACAACTCACATTACCAGACACAACCATCACTGACACTGACGTAGACAACTCACATTACCAGACATAACCATCACTGACACTGACGTAGACAACTCACATTACCAGACACAACCATCACTGACACTGACGTACACAGCTCACATTACCAGACATAACCATCACTGACACTGACGTAGACAACTCACATGACCAGACATAACCATCACTGACACTGACGTAGACAACTCACATTACTAGACATAACCATCACTGACACTGACGTACACAGCTCACATTACCAGACATAACCATCACTGACACTGACGTAAACAACTCACATTACCAGACATAACCATCACTGACACTGACGCACACAACTCACATTACCAGACATAACCATCACTGACACTGACATACACAACTCACATTACCAGACATAACCATCACTGACACTGACGTAGACAACTCACATTACCAGACATAACCATCACTGACACTGACGTACACAACTCACATTACCAGACATAACCATCACTGACACTGACGTAGACAACTCACATTACCAGCCATAACCATCACTGACACTGACGTACACAACTCACATTACTAGACACAACCATCACTGTCACTGACGTCCACAACTCACATTACCAGACATAACCATCACTGACACTGACGTACACAACTCACATTACCAGACATAACCATCACTGACACTGACGTACACAGCTCACATTACCAGACACAACCATCACTGACACTGACGTAGACAACTCACATTACTAGACACAACCATCACTGACACTGACGTAGACAACTCACATTACCAGACACAACCATCACTGACACTGACGTACACATCTCACATTACCAGATATAACCATCACTGACACTGACGTCCACAACTCACATTACCAGACATAACCATCACTGACACTGACGTCCACAACTCACATTACCAGACATAACCATCACTGACACTGACGTAAACAACTCACATTACCAGACACAACCATCACTGACACTGACGTACACAGCTCACATTACCAGACACAACCATCACTGACACTGACGTCCACAACTCACATTACCAGACATAACCATCACTGACACTGACGTACACAACTCACATTACCAGACACAACCATCACTGACACTGACGTACACAACTCACATTACCAGACATAACCATCACTGACACTGACGTAGACAGCTCACATTACCAGACATAACCATCACTGACACTGACACACACAACTCACATTACCAGACATAACCATCACTGACACTGACGTGCACAGCTCACATTACCAGACAAAACCATCCCTGACGTGATGGTTATGTCTAGTAATGTGAACTGTGTATGTCAGTGACAGGATTCCAGATACCAAGAGAAAAGAAACAGTGAGAAACAAAAGGTTAACATCGAATGCAAATGACTTATGATTAAGTATTACGTGCCTTGAAAAAAATGACAAACGGACAAAGTCCTATCCCTCAGGATTTACAGTTGAATTTCATATTTTTTTCTGGAATGATATTTTACAGTTTCTACTACGATCCTAAAATTATGGCTATCAAAAAGGAGAATAGTCAGTTTCTCAAAAGCAGGGTATTTTTACATGCTTACCTGAAACGGGCAAACTGGAGACCAATATCTTTCCTAAACGCCTCGTACTAACTTGGCTCTGCAACTAAAGCAAACGACTTAAAACAATATTGCCAATGATTATAAAGGAAGTGGGTATGGTTTTACGCTGCTTTTAGCAATATTCCAGCAATATCACAGCGGGGGACACTAGAAATGGGAGAATCAATATGAAATGGTTGAGAACAATTAATACCAATATGACTTCCTGTGTATCAGCAAATGATTTCACATCACAATTTTTCGAAATTATTAGAGGGTGCCGACAAGGGGATCCTCTATCTCCATATATCTTCCTAATTTGTGCAGACATTGTATAAGTAATTTCGCGGACGACACATCCCTTATTTTGAACGGTACAGAAACCATTTGATGAATATACATCCTTCTATGGCTTTAATACTAGTAAAACTCCAGTAGTCTGCATAGGATCTCAAAAGGAATGAGAGGAGTCACTCCTGGAAATTGAACTAGACACAAGCAGAATTGACAATTCGGGGCTTAACATTTACCCACAACCACAATGTAACAAGTGCATGGATTAAAAGAATATTACAAGATGATTTAAACTTGATAGTACTGCTTAATGCGAATATATCTCCTAGGAATAAAGATTTTCTTCTTAAAAGGGAAACCTTTATTAAAAGTAATGTAATATGTTCGAAAACAAACAACTTCTGGAAAGATGTACTTCGAGTTTACGAAAATGAAAGATACTTACGTCAAAGAAGCTAAAGACATACTAGCTTTACCAGTATGTCATCACGAAAATACATGAAAAGCTGGAAACCCTTTATTTATCAGCATTACTCAAAAATGGGTGTCAATCTTTCAAATAGTAATAGAAATTAAGCAAGAACCACCACTGTTACCACACAACCTGCAGGAAATAATCGAAAACGGAAAGGGATGTTGAAGATTCGATGATATTGCAAAGTAAAATTCAACACTAAAATTACCCCTATAAAACAAAATGGGGAGATGCTGAAATGTGGAATAAACAGTTCGGGAGGAGAGGCTATAAACAGAATTCCGTGTAGAGCATTGCACAACTCGGACTATAGATGTTTCCAATATTATATTTTGCATAGAATCCTGCCAGGTAAATCACTTTTGTTTTATGATGGGATATGCGACAATGAGTCCGTAACTCGGAGACTGAAAGCCTTACTCACTTCTTTTATGAATGCATAGAGACGCAAGATATATATATATATATATATATATATATATATATATATATATATATATATATACATATACAACTCGGACTATAGATGTTTCCAATATTATATTTTGCATAGAATCCTGCCAGGTAAATCACTTTTGTTTTATGATGGGATATGCGACAATGAGTCCGTAACTCGGAGACTGAAAGCCTTACTCACTTCTTTTATGAATGCATAGAGACGCAAGATATATATATATATATATATATATATATATATATATATATATATATATATATATATATATATATATATATACACATATATATATACATATATATATATATATATATATATACACATATATATATACATATATATATATATATATATATATATATATATATATATATATATATATATATATGGGTAGATTTAGAATTAAATAGACATACAAACTGGAATACATATTGCAATTAACAATAAAGAAGTATTGTTTGGATATTCCGAAAAAAGGAAATGACGTTCTCAATCTTCTAATAACAGTTATCAAATATAATATTTTAAAAATAAGAACGTTTACAGATAATCTTATATTTGTTACAAAAGGAAATTATTAATGCATATAACGTTCATAAATTCAAATGCTTTTTTACTTGTAAAAACGCCACGTTCATTAAATTCTGGTCTTTATGTCATTTTCTACTCCAATAACAACCTTTTATTTCTGTTAAAGTTATACGAAGGTAAATCTTACGCTTCTTCTGCTGCTACTAAAGAATATGACCATTGTATACATCCACTGACTCCTTTTTAGAAGATACTTACAAAGTCTACGTATTTTGTAACTATTTTTGTGACATATTGTCTCAATTATCTATTATACTTAATAGACATGAACTTAGTCTTACTGTTATTCCTTTGAGCAGCGTGATTTTATATGTTTATGTATACCTGGAATAAAATATCAATGAAATAAGAAAACCTGTCTTACAAAAATCCCTGGCAATCTCCCCGCAGAATATTGTTAGTCCCTTTGATCAATGTAGTCAACGATATGAAATATTAGTTGTTTATTTGCTTTCTGCTGTAAACTAGTCTCTCTGTATGGCACTTGCATGTTTTGTTTCAGGATAGACGAAGAACAAGATTTCCTGTCGACGTTCCATGATTTAAAGAAGAAGGTATTTCTTGCTTGGTGAACTGTGATGCCAGAACATAACGCAGTGTTTATGCATAAATAAATACCCTGCTTCAATTTTATATAAGAAAGTACACTTGTTTTGGGATATGTATAAAGAAACTTTCAACTCGAAGTATTACTTTCTCACCAGTCCCGAGTGACGTCATCTGCTTGTTCAGTACTGATGAAAAGTATTGAGGTTATTTTTTAAATAATTATATAGAAACCCCAATATTGGAACGTTTTACCCATAACTGTGATCTGCCTTGTTTCATTACTGATGAAAAGTATTGAGATTATTTTTTAAATAATTATATGGAAACCTGTATATTGGAACTTTTTACCCATAACTGTCATCTGCCTTGTTTCAGTACCGGATCACCAACTTCCCCCTCCTCATAAAGAGCGGGTGTGTGCTGTTCGCCGTCATGCTGCTTCTGTTTCTCCATTCATTCATCTCCACCATGCACGTGGGCCTGGGTGAGATCCCGTGGAATCTCGCGTGTTTTGTCTGTATTGTCTGGGGACATACGACATTAGACATGAGACTGGCAATTGAGTTTCATACAAAATATATTTTTGTCTTCAAGACATTTGTTTTTTCGCAGAATTATTTTCAGGACATCCAGCAAAATATATTCCTCTTGTAATACCTGGCGCAAAGTTATTTTTGCAAGAAATTTCTGAAACAAATTCTATATTTTTTTGTAAATGGACTTGACAGCTATGAACGTGTATTACAGTATATGCGGTACTTGTTGTTCAGGTTGGATTGCGATCTTCGGGGCGTTGTGGCTGCTTGTTCTGGCTGATATCTCCGACATGGAGTCCATCCTGCACAAGGTGGAGTGGTCAACTCTGCTTTTCTTCGCCGCGCTCTTCACGCTCATGGAGGTAGTTAGAGTCACGTGGTCTTTGAATCTGGCAATGATATTTTCCCCATCTCTTAAAACCCGTCTGACAAAGTTTACTATGATGATCCCATGTTTCTGATGTTCTAGAAACAAATGGCTGCACTGGAAGCCATATTGGAAAACAATTTTAAATCGTGTTAGAAGCTAACGTGTAAAGAATCCTGTATTGAACCTGTCATAGCGTAATGTGAGAGTCCGCCCGGATGTATTCTCACTCCTCGAATGGGTGACAGAGTATATGCCCGGTCTGTGTTAACATGTTGTGTCTGTGTTTACATGTCTGTTTACATGTTGTGTCTGTGTTTACATGTCTGTTTACATGTTGTGTTTGTGTTTACATGTCTGTTTACATGTTGTGTCTGTGTTTACATGTTGTGTCTGTGTTTACATGTTGTGTCTGTGTTTACATGTCTGTTTACATGTTGTGTCTGTGTTTACATGTCTGTTTACATGTTGTGTCTGTGTTTACATGTCTGTTTACATGTTGTGTCTGTGTTTACATGTCTGTTTACAGTTGTGTCTGTGTTTACATGTTGTGTCTGCGTTTACATGTTGTGTATGTGTTTACATGTTGTGTCTGTGTTTACATGTGTCTGAGTTTACATGTTGTGTCTGTGTTTACATGTTGTGTCTGTGTTTACATGTTGTGTCTGTGTTTACATGTCTGTTTACATGTTGTGTCTGGTTTACATGTCTGTTTACATGTTGTGTCTGTGTTTACATGTCTGTTTACATGTTGTGTCTGTGTTTACATGTCTGTTTACATGTTGTGTCTGTGTTTACATGTCTGTTTACAGTTGTGTCTGTGTTAACATGTTGTGTCTGCGTTTACATCTTGTGTATGTGTTTACATGTTGTGTCTGTGTTTACATGTGTCTGAGTTTACATGTTGTGTCTGTGTTTACATGTTGTGTCTGTGTTTACATGTTGTGTCTGTGTTTACATGTCTGTTTACATGTTGTGTCTGTGTTTACATGTCTGTTTACATGGTGTGTCTGTGTTTACATGTCTGTTTTACATGTTGTGTCTGTGTTTACATGTCTGTTTACATGTTGTGTCTGTGTTTACATGTCTGTTTACATGTTGTGTCTGTGTTTACATGTCTGTTAACATGTTGTGTCTGTGTTTACATGTTGTGTCTGTGTTTACATGTTGTGTCTGTGTTTACATGTTGTGTCTGTGTTTACATGTCTGTTTACATGTTGTGTCTGTGTTTACATGTCTGTTTACATGTTGTGTCTGTGTTTACATGTCTGTTTACATGTTGTGTCTGTGTTTACATGTCTGTTTACGTGTTGTCTGTATTGTCACCCAGGCTTTAGCAGAACTGGGTCTTATAACCACAATCGGCACAGCCATCAGCGACGTCATCAAGTCGGTCGGGGAGGAGTCCCGACTGCTGGCTGCCCTTGTCATCATCATCTGGGTGTCTGCACTTGCCTCCAGCTTCATCGACAACATCCCCTACACCACCGCCATGGTCAGTTGCAACGTTTACATTCAGATGATAGAAGTGTCGATGGATCCTCTCTGTTACCTGAGCACTGAGAACGACGTCCTTAAGGGATAAGGGGTTCTGCGATACTACAGGTCCTCAGTATAAGATTCCGGACAGTTGTTAGTTGTTTTACACCCACTCGGCAGTATGTCGGCACCTGTCTCTTCCTCGGGTTTGTGTGACAGTTGTTTGTTGTTTTACACCCACTCGGCAGTATGTCGGTACCTGTCTCTATCTCGGGTTTGTGTGACAGTTGTTTGTTGTTTTACACCCACTCGGCAGTATGTCGGCACCTGTCTCTTCCTCGGGTTTGTGTGACAGTTGTTTGTTGTTTTACACCAACTCGGCAGTATGTCGGCACCTGTCTCTTCCTCGGGTTTGTGTGACAGTTGTTTGTTGTTTTACACCAACTTGGCAGTATGTCGGCACCTGTCTCTTCCTCGGGTTTGTGTGACAGTGTTTGTTGTTTTACACCAACTCGGCAGTATGTCGGCACCTGTCTCTTCCTCGGGTTTGTGTGACAGTTGTTTGTTGTTTTACACCAACTCGGCAGTATGTCAGCACCTGTCTTTCCTCGGGTCTGTGTGACAGTTGTTTGTTGTTTTACACCAACTCGGCAGTATGTCGGCACCTGTCTCTTCCTCGGGTTTGTGTGACAGTTGTTTGTTGTTTTACACCCACTCGGCAGTATGTCTGTACCTGTCTCTTCCTCGGGTTTGTGTGACAGTGTTTGTCCCCAGCACCCCCGTGAACGTAAGAGCTGGATAGGTGAGGATCGGGTGGTAACTAGAGTGACCTGGCGTTGATCGTTGTTCGTGCTATCAACCACTGGTTGTCTTGGTACAGTATTGGTCACGCGAATGTCACCTGGGATACTGCTGACTTGCTTATTCTTCAGCAACAACATTTACATTTATTGATAATGCTGAAGAAATTGAACAAATTTGCTATTTGAAAAAACGTTAGATATAGAATCAGAAGATATCTGAAATGAGATTGGCACAGCCCCAAGGTACGTTTCTCAGAGCATGTGGGAGTTTGCGCTTTTGTGTGTGTGTGTGTGTGTGTGTGTGTGTGTGTGTGTGTGTGTGTGTGTGTGTGTGTGTGTGTGTGTGTGTGTGTGTGTGTGTGTGTGTGTGTGTGTGTGTGTGTGTGTGTGTGTGTGTGTGTGTGTGTGTGTGTGTGTGTGTGTGTGTGTGTGTGTGTGTGTGTGTGTGTGTGTGTGTGTGTGTGTGTGTGTGTGCGCGCGCGTGCGTGCGTGCGTGCGTGTGGCGCTGGCGCGAGTGTGTGTTCTGCGATAATCTCTCTTGGTCCGTAATGACGTCATGCTGTTGCTAGGTGCCGGTGTTGCAGCAGCTGAGTGAGGACCGGGAACTCAACCTGCAGTTACTTCCCCTGATGCTGGCTCTGGCGTTCGGCGCATGTTTGGGCGGTGAGTCGAGGGGGGTCTGACAGTATGGGGACTGAGTCGAGGGGGTCTGGACACCACAGGAACTGAGTCGGACACCACAGGAACTGTGTCGAGGGGGTCTGGACACCACAGGAACTGAGTCGGACACCACAGGAACTGTGTCAAGGGGGTCTGGACACCACAGGAACTGAGTCGAGGGGGTCTGGACACCACGGGGACTTAGCGTGGGTGGAACTAGGGAACGCCTCGCCCCCTTGGTCATATACGTGGTTGGAGCTAGGAACGTCTTGCCCCCTAGGTCTTATACGTGGGTGGAGCTAGGGAACGTATTGCCCCCTTGGTCATATACGTGGGTGGAGCTGGAAAACGTCTTGCCCCCTTGGTCATATACGTGGGTGGAGCTGGGAAACGTCTTGCCCCCTAGGTCATATACGTGGGTGGAGCTAGGGAACGTATTGCCCCCTTGGTCATATACGTGGGTGGAGCTGGGAAACGTATTGCCCCCTTGTCATATACGTGGGTGGAGCTAGGGAACGCCTTGCCCCTAGGTCATATACGTGGGTGGAGCTGGGAAACGTATTGCCCCCTTGGTCATATTTGTGGGTGGAGCTGGGAAACGTCTTGCCCCCTAGGTCATATACGTGGGTGGAGCTAGGAACGTCTTGCCCCCTTGGTCATATACGTGGGTGGAGCTGGGAAACGTATTGCCCCCTTGATCATATACTTGGGTGGAGCTAGGGAACGTATTGCCCCCTTGGTCATATACGTGGGTGGAGCTGGGAAACGTATTGCCCCCTTGGTCATATACGTGGGTGGAGCTAGGGAACGTATTGCCCCCTTGGTCATATACGTGGGTGGAGCTGGGAAACGTATTGCCCCCTTGTCATATACGTGGGTGGAGCTAGGAACGTCTTGCCCCCTAGGTCATACGTGGGTGGAGCTAGGGAACGCCTTGCCCCCTTGGTCATAAATGTGGGTGGAGCTAGGGAACGTCTTGCCCCCTTGGTCATATACGTTGGTGGAGCTGGGAAACGTATTGCCCCCTTGGTCATATACGTGGGTGGAGCTGGGAAACGTATTGCCCCCTTGTCATATACGTGGGTGGAGCTAGGAACGTCTTGCCCCCTAGGTCATACGTGGGTGGAGCTAGGGAACGTATTGCCCCCTTGGTCATATACGTGGGTAGAGCTGGGGAACGTCTTGCCCCCTTGGTCATATACGTGGGTGGAGCTAGGGAACGTCTTGCCCCCTTGGTCATATACTTGGGTTGAGCTAGGGAACGTCCTGCCGCCTTGGTCATATACGTAGGTGGAGCTAGGGAACGTCCTGCCGCCTTGGTCATATACGTAGGTGGAGCTAGGGAACGTCCTGCCGCCTTGGTCATATACGTAGGTGGAGCTAGGGAACGTCTTGTCCCCTTGTTTTTATACGTGGATGGAGCTAGGAACGTCTTGTCACCTTGGTCATATACGTGGGTGGAGCTAGTGAACGTCTTGTCCCCTTGGTCATATACGTGGGTGGAGCTAGGAACGTCTTCATTCGTGACCAACTCGTGTTATTCCGTGTTATTCAGGTTACGGAAAGGGGCGAGTGGTGACGAATTGGAACGTCTTGTCCCCTTGGTGATATACGTGGGTGGAGCTAGGAACGTCTTGTCCCCTTGGTCATATACGTGGGTGGAGCTAGGAACGTCTTGTCCCCTTGGTCATATACGTGGATGGAGCTAGGAACGTCTTGTTCCCGTGATCATACACGTAGCTAGAGCTCGGGAACGTCTTCCACCCTTGGCCATATACATCATGTGTGCTTGGTTCATGGTGTGCGTGGTGAAACTCGTGTTGTTAGATCTTGCGGAGTGAGACACATATTAAATGATGTCAGATTAGGGACACCGGTGGGAATTCCGGGTTAGAATTGATACCTGCAACTTATGCTGGTCGTCAGATGGAACTTGATGGATCGGGTAGTCATGCTCAGGGATGTGGCTGATCATCGGTGACTTGATCACCGGTTACTGTTGATCACTGGTTACTGTTGATTATCGGTGACTTGATCACCGGCTACTGTTGATCACCGGTGACTTGGCGTAGATCATTGCTCATAATGTTAATCACTGGATTGTCTGGTCCTGACTGGAATATTACATACTTCTATCATATCGCTGGAATATTGCCGAGCAATTTACTACGACCAGGAATATCCCGAATCACCCCGAATAAGAAATTTTTCATGTTCGTAGATAAATCTCAATCATTTCTTGACTTTCTTAAATGAGTCTTATTTGATTCCCAAACATTCGTACAGTTCGAGGGAGTTCGTTGAATCGGCAAGAAAGTTTTTGTTTGTCAAAAACTTTCGTGGAAGGGTCCCAGAATTGCAATCTCGTGGCTGTATTGTAATCCATTCGTAGTTAATTCTTATGTTCCGTAATAGCTTCGTAATCGATTCTTTTGCATTCTTGGCTATTCTTAGCGATTCGTGGCTCCCACAATTTCTTGTCCTCAACCCGAAAACATCCCGAAACAGCCGAGAATGTCCCGAGTCAATTACGAATCATGTAAGAATTAAGTAAGAACAACACGAACGGTGGAAATGATGGGATGGCCAGCGACCGGGGGCTTTTTAGACTTTCGGGACCCATGAACATGCTGAAGTGTCAGGAGAAGTACCGATTTTCGCAAACTTCTCGTAAATATGTCGTACTAGTCGTATATTATTCGTTGCGATCGTCCGGTCTCCGTACATGCATTCGGCATATTCGTAACTTAGTCGTAGGTGATTCTTACAATTCGTGCATGATCCGTACATGAATCTTGTAATTCGTACATGTTTCTTAACCCATTCCTGGCATTCTTCATATTTTTAGCCACGAGTTTTCGTTACTCCGTCGTACGTTTGTCGTAACTGCTTCGTACCTCCTACCGATTCTCCACGAAAGTTTGCATTATTGGCCGAATCATCGCGAATTTCGAATTTCCGATTCGGGGTGATTCGGGATATTCGTGGTCGTAGTTGAAGTGGGGCATTAAACAACAAACCAACACACACAGAATGAATACCGAATACAGAAAGAGGTCAGACATACATGTTGTTATTACTCAGCTAACATGATTAAAAGTGTTCGTCATTATATTTCCAAGGCAACGGGACTCTTATCGGTGCTTCTGCCAACGTGGTGTGCGCAGGCATAGCAGAGCAGCACGGGTACGGCATTTCCTTCCGAGAGTTCTTCAAGTAAGTACTTCATGGTGTCGGCACTAGGTATATGTTGTAAGTACTTCATAATGTCGGCACTAGGTATATGTAGTAAGTACTTCATGATGTCGGCACTAGGTATATGTAGTAAGTACTTCATGATGTCGACACTAGGTATATGTAGTAAGTACTTCATGATGTCGGCACTAGGTATATGTAGTAAGTACTTCATGATGTCGGCACTAGGTATATGTAGTAAGTACTTCATGATGTCGACACTAGGTATATGTAGTAAGTACTTCATGATGTCGACACTAGGTATATGTAGTAAGTACTTCATGATGTCGGCACTAGGTATATGTAGTAAGTACTTCATGATGTCGTCACTAGGTATATGTAGTAAATACTTCATGGTGTCGGCACTAGGTATATGTAGTAAGTACTTCATGATGTCGGCACTAGGTATATGTAGTAAGTACTTCATGGTGTCGGCACTAGGTATATGTAGTAAGTACTTCATGGTGTCGGCACTAGGTATATGTTGTAAGTACTTCATGATGTCGACACTAGGTATATGTTGTAAGTACTTCATGATGTCGACACTAGGTATATGTAGTAAGTACTTCATGATGTCGACACTAGGTATATGTAGTAAGTACTTCATGATGCCGGCTCTAGGTATATGTAGTAAGTACTTCATGATGTCGGCTCTAGGTATATGTTGTAAGTACTTCATGATGCCGGCTCTAGGTATATGTAGTAAATACTTCATGATACCGGCACTAGGTATATTTAGTAAGTACTTCATGATGCCGGCTCTAGGTATATGTAGTAAGTACTTCATGATGTCGACACTAGGTATATGTAGTAAGTACTTCATGATGTCGACACTAGGTATATGTAGTAGGTACTTCATGATGTCGGCACTAGGTATATCTAGTAAGTACTTCATGATGCCGGCACTAGGTATATGTAGTAAGTACTTCATAATGTCGGCACTAGGTATATGTAGTAAGTAGGCTCTAGGTATATGCAGTAGGTTCTTCATGGTGCAGGCTCTAGGTATATGTAGTAAGTACTTCATGATGCCGACACTAGGTATATGTAGTAAGTACTTCATAATGTCGACACTAGGTATATGTAGTAAGTACTTCATGATGTCGGCACTAGGTATATGTAGTAAGTAGGCTCTAGGTATATGCAGTAGGTTCTTCATGGTGCAGGCTCTAGGTATATGTAGTAAGTACTTCATGATGCCGGCACTAGGTATATGTTGTAAGTACTTCATGGTGTCGTCACTAGGTATATGTAGTAAGTACTTCATGATGTCGACACTAGGTATATGTAGTAAGTACTTCATGATGCCGACACTAGGTATATGTAGTAAGTACTTCATAATGTCGACACTAGGTATATGTAGTAAGTACTTCATAATGTCGACACTAGGTATATGTAGTAAGTACTTCATAATGTCGGCACTAGGTATATGTAGTAAGTACTTCATGATGCCGACACTAGGTATATGTAGTAAGTACTTCATAATGTCGACACTAGGTATATGTAGTAAGTACTTCATAATGTCGGCACTAGGTATATGTAGTAAGTAGGCTCTAGGTATATGCAGTAGGTTCTTCATGGTGCAGGCTCTAGGTATATGTAGTAAGTACTTCATGATGCCGGCACTAGGTATATGTTGTAAGTACTTCATGGTGTCGTCACTAGGTATATGTAGTAAGTACTTCATGATGTCGACACTAGGTATATGTAGTAAGTACTTCATGATGCCGACACTAGGTATATGTAGTAAGTACTTCATGATGTCGGCACTAGGTATATTTAGTAAGTACTTCATGATGCCGACACTAGGTATATGTAATAAGTACTTCATGGTGTCGGCACTAGGTATATGTAGTAGGTACTTCATGATGTCGGCACTAGGTATATGTAGTAAGTACTTCATGATGTCGACACTAGGTATATGTAGTAGGTACTTCATGATGTCGTCACTAGGTATATGTAGTAAGTACTTCATGATGCCGACACTAGGTATATGTAGTAGGTACTTCATGATGTCGTCACTAGGTATATGTAGTAGGTACTTCATGATGTCGTCACTAGGTATATGTAGTAGGTACTTCATGATGTCGTCACTAGGTATATGTAGTAAGTACTTCATGATGTCGACACTAGGTATATGTAGTAGGTACTTCATGATGTCGACACTAGGTATATGTAGTAGGTACTTCATGATGCCGACACTAGGTATATGTAGTAAGTACTTCATGATGCCGGCACTAGGTATATGTAGTAAGTACTTCATGATGTCGACACTAGGTATATGTAGTAAGTACTTCATGATGTCGGCACTAGGTATATGTAGTAAGTACTTCATGATGTCGACACTAGGTATATGTTGTAAGTACTTCATGATGTCGGCACTAGGTATATGTAGTAAGTACTTCATGATGTCGGCACTAGGTATATGTAGTAAGTACTTCATGATGTCGGCACTAGGTATATGTAGTAGGTACTTCATGATGTCGGCACTAGGTATATGTAGTAAGTACTTCATGATGTCGGCACTAGGTATATGTAGTAAGTACTTCATGATGTCGGCACTAGGTATATGTTGTAAGTACTTCATGATGTCGGCACTAGGTATATGTAGTAAGTACTTCATGATGTCGGCACTAGGTATATGTAGTAGGTACTTCATGATGTCGGCACTAAGTATATGTAGTAAGTACTTCATGATGTCGGCACTAGGTATATGTAGTAAGTACTTCATGATGTCGGCACTAGGTATATGTAGTAAGTACTTCATGATGTCGGCACTAGGTATATGTAGTAGGTACTTCATGATGTCGGCACTAGGTATATGTAGTAAGTACTTCATGATGTCTGCACTAGGTATATGTAGTAAGTACTTCATGGTGTCGGCACTAGGTATATGTAGTAAGGACTTCATGGTGTCGGCACTAGGTATATGTTGTAAGTACTTCATGATGTCGACACTAGGTATATGTTGTAAGTACTTCATGATGTCGACACTAGGTATATGTAGTAAGTACTTCATGATGTCGACACTAGGTATATGTAGTAAGTACTTCATGATGCCGGCTCTAGGTATATGTAGTAAGTACTTCATGATGTCGGCTCTAGGTATATGTTGTAAGTACTTCATGATGCCGGCTCTAGGTATATGTAGTAAATACTTCATGATACCGGCACTAGGTATATTTAGTAAGTACTTCATGATGCCGGCTCTAGGTATATGTAGTAAGTACTTCATGATGTCGACACTAGGTATATGTAGTAAGTACTTCATGATGTCGACACTAGGTATATGTAGTAGGTACTTCATGATGTCGACACTAGGTATATGTAGTAGGTACTTCATGATGCAGGCACTAGGTATATGTAGTAAGTACTTCATGATGTCGGCTCTAGGTATATGTAGTAAGTACTTCATGATGCCAACACTAGGTATATGTAGTAAGTACTTCATGATGTCGACACTAGGTATATGTAGTAGGTACTTCATGATGTCGTCACTAGGTATATGTAGTAAGTACTTCATGATGTCGGCACTAGGTATATGTAGTAAGTACTTCATGATGTCGGCACTAGGTATATGTAGTAAGTACTTCATGATGTCGTCACTAGGTATATGTAGTAGGTTCTTCATGGTGCACGCTCTAGGTATATGTTGTAAGTACTTCATGGTGTCGGCACTAGGTATATGTAGTAAGTACTTCATGATGTCGGCACTAGGTATATGTAGTAGGTTCTTCATGGTGCAGGCTCTAGGTTCATGTTGTAAGTACTTCATGGTGTCGGCACTAGGTATATGTAGTAAGTACTTCATAATGTCGGCATTAGGTATATGTAGTAAGGACTTCATGATGTCGGCACTAGGTATATGTTGTAAGTACTTCATGATGTCGGCACTAGGTATATGTAGTAAGTACTTCATGATGTCGACACTAGGTATATTTAGTAAGTACTTCATGATGTCGGCACTAGGTATATGTAGTAAGTACTTCATGATGTCGACACTAGGTATATGTAGTAGGTACTTCATGATGTCGACACTAGGTATATGTAGTAGGTACTTCATGATGCCGGCACTAGGTATATGTAGTAAGTACTTCATGATGCTGGCACTAGGTATATGTTGTAAGTACTTCATGATGTCGACACTAGGTATATGTAGTAGGTACTTCATGATGTCGACACTAGGTATATGTAGTAGGTACTTCATGATGCCGACACTAGGTATATGTAGTAAGTACTTCATGATGCCGGCACTAGGTATATGTAGTAAGTACTTCATGATGTCGACACTAGGTATATGTAGTAAGTACTTCATGATGTCGGCACTAGGTATATGTAGTAAGTACTTCATGATGTCGACACTAGGTATATGTAGTAAGTACTTCATGATGTCGGCACTAGGTATATGTAGTAAGTACTTCATGATGTCGGCACTAGGTATATGTAGTAAGTACTTCATGATGTCGGCACTAGGTATATGTAGTAGGTACTTCATGATGTCGGCACTAGGTATATGTAGTAAGTACTTCATGATGTCGGCACTAGGTATATGTAGTAAGTACTTCATGATGTCGGCACTAGGTATATGTTGTAAGTACTTCATGATGTCGGCACTAGGTATATGTAGTAAGTACTTCATGATGTCGGCACTAGGTATATGTAGTAGGTACTTCATGATGTCGGCACTAAGTATATGTAGTAAGTACTTCATGATGTCGGCACTAGGTATATGTAGTAAGTACTTCATGATGTCGGCACTAGGTATATGTAGTAAGTACTTCATGATGTCGGCACTAGGTATATGTAGTAGGTACTTCATGATGTCGGCACTAGGTATATGTAGTAAGTACTTCATGATGTCGGCACTAGGTATATGTAGTAAGTACTTCATGATGTCGGCATTAGGTATATGTTGTAAGTATTTCATGATGTCGTCACTAGGTATATGTAGTAAGTACTTCATGATGTCGTCACTAGGTATA